AAAGTAGTGTTTCATTATAATTGTGATTTTTAATCCAGTTCCCAATGTAGATCTCCCTCCTCTTTGTTCGTCACGTTTTCGTCCTGGTCCTCCTAGTGAACAGGCGCAAGTTCTCAGCCAGTTTGTTGCAGATGTCATCTCAAAGTAAGTAGAAGACGTCCTTAACTAAATAAGGGTTGAGTGTTCCTCAATAAAAGTGGCATTTTTGAACTGAGTCAAATGAGAAGGCCAGCTTCAGAAACTGTATTATTTAATTAATTAATTAATCATTATTGATGTAATAATTATTGAATCATTTGCCTCGTCAGCTGTGAACCCATCAATCTTGAGGAGTTATGTATTGTGGAAGGCAAGGTAAGAAATGCGGTGCTCAACATCATGGCTTAAATTTAAATGTCCGACTTTCTTATGTTTATGAATATGTGGCTATACTGCTCTCTTTAAAGTTGGAAGGGGAGGGTACAAACTTAAGGAAATGTAAATAAAAAAAGGGAATTAACACCTCCAAAATAACTACTGTGTAGCAATGGTTTTGCCCTGTGAACCCTTCAGTCTGTTTCTATCTTGAGTGGTGATGTCACCAAATGGCACACACCTGAACTTGTTCCCAGGATCTTTGTGCTTGCTAAGGAGAGAGTGCCCTGGGACAAGGCTGCTACCATAGAATGTTCGGCAAAGCAAATACCTCTCAGAACACAACCCAGACACCACTGACCATAGTGAAGAGAATTTGTAACTAAAATACACAATAACCACTTTTTTAGCACTCAAAAGAAAAACCTTTTATCCTATTTATTTCCCCTTCAATACCCCCAGTCTAGTTATTTCTTACGTATACAATAAATTGTATCCCTGTTTTTTGTTACAGTTATCATGGGTCCTGTATGTTGACATGATGTGTTTGAGCTATGACGGAAACATAACAGATGCCTGCCTAGTAGCTTCTATGGCTGCTCTACAAAACAGTGAGTGATGTTGTAGTGTCAGGAGTCAGCATCAAAAATTAATAAGAAGACACAGCCAGAAGTAACAGGGTCTTAATGTGATCAGTCACAATCACAAATACTGTTTATTGACTAAATATGTTACCCAAGTATTTGAAAGTCTTCGTATGCATTGCAGGCCTATGTTGCAGGCACATTACACCCAAACCATAAGATGCAGAATATAAGGCTTCATTGTTTTCATTCAAAGTTTAGTCTCTTTTGTGAGTATAAGATCTTAATGGAGTTCAGTCATGGTATTTTGAATTATTTTGGTCACATACAAAATTACCTTTAAATGGTAGGAAACCTGAAAATAACATATATGCATTTTGCCGATAAAAGTAAAATATAAAACTTTTAGGTAAAAAGCTGTTAAAATTATGAGTCTAAACGTTTTTGATCTGTTTGATCACCATCAGAGTCATGACGATCAAACAGATCGAAAACGTTTAGACTCATAATTTTAACAGCTTTTTAACTTAAAGTTTTATATTCTGAAAATAACAGTTTAATAAGATAGCAAAACACCAAAGCAATAATGATGAACCATAAAGGAACAAGGATGGCTAAGCATGGAGAAGATTAACACGGATTACAAACGACAAATTTGAAAAATTGGGGCTAAACTTTTCAATATGCACAAACCATGACTGAGCTCCTTTAAGATCTTGCTGAAGCCCTCAAGAAAATTAAAACGAACAGCCATAAAAAGCTAGCAAATTTACGCTCCTTAAAATTATTGTGGAGTAAGAATTTTTAACTGGTAGTTTATTTGACGGGCTATGAATATTTTGGAAATCTGATATTTTAGATATTAACATCTGGCCCACTGTATTTGTGTCATGTTAACAACTGCCCATTAAAAATAGCACATAAAAAGGCAGAAACAAGACAAAGCAGAAGAGAGTTCTTTGACTGGGCAGCATCAAGATGGCCCATTTGGCAAACCCTATAACTCTTATCAGCTGTTAAGTTAAAAATGAAGTTAGTTCTATGTCAATTCATTTTCAGCTCAGCTTTATTCAGTAAAGATAGATGAAGAAACACAAACTCCAGTACCATCTGAAGAGAGAGAAGTTCCACTGAACCTTAAAAAACATCCAGTTTCTGCCACGTTTGGTGTATTTGATGAGTAAGTTTTGATGTCTTTAGATGAAAGCTATTCTTTTATATTCTATGATCAATCATGATTTTCTGACTGGACGTCTTCTTNAAAATATAAAACTTTTAGGTAAAAAGCTGTTAAAATTATGAATCTAAACGTTTTTGATCTGTTTGATCACCATCAGAGTCATGACGATCAAACAGATCGAAAACGTTTAGACTCATAATTGTAACAGCTTTTTAACTTAAAGTTTTATATTCTGAAAATAACAGTTTAATAAGATAGCAAAACACCAAAGCGATAATGATGAACCATAAAGGAACAAGGATGGCTAAGCATGGAGAAGATTAACACGGATTACAAACAACAAATTTGAAAAATTGGGGCTAAACTTTTCAATATCCACAAACCATGACTGAGCTCCTTTAAGATCTTGCTGAAGCCCTCAAGAAAGTTAAAACGAACAGCCATAAAGAGCTAGCAAATTTACGCTCCTTAAAATTATTGTGGAGTAAGAATTTTTAACTGGTAGTTTATTTGACGGGCTATGAATATTTTGGAAATCTGATATTTTAGATATTAACATCTGGCCCACTGTATTTGTGTCATGTTAACAACTGCCCATTAAAAATAGCACATAAAAAGGCAGAAACAAGACAAAGCAGAAGAGAGTTCTTTGACTGGGCAGCATCAAGATGGCCCATTTGGCAAACCCTATAACTCTTATCAGCTGTTAAGTTAAAAATGAAGTTAGTTCTATGTCAATTCATTTTCAGCTCAGCTTTATTCAGTAAAGATAGATGAAGAAACACAAACTCCAGTACCATCTGAAGAGAGAGAAGTTCCACTGAACCTTAAAAAACATCCAGTTTCTGCCACGTTTGGTGTATTTGATGAGTAAGTTTTGATGTCTTTAGATGAAAGCTATTCTTTTATATTCTATGATCAATCATGATTTTCTGACTGGACGTCTTCTTACTTGACTGGTGGACTACTTACTAAATTGTCCTAGTGCACTCACAAGAAGTGTTCAATTTAGGAAGCTCATACCACCCTCAAATCACTGCACTCTGACAAAATCACTTCTGCCACTCTTTGCTCTGCCCAAGGGCTAACACTCGGAACATCAGCTTCACATTCTTACTACAGCGATAAATTTTCTGTTATCAAGCACTTAGTAACCTCTTGTACCCTCCTGCATCCTGCTACTAATTCAACCATCTTGTTAAAAATATTCTGCGCACACTCTTTATCCTTTCACTTGCTGCAACTACAGCAATATTTTTGATGTTATGCTTGAACATAGCCTGTAAATTAGGCAATCTATGAAGATCTCGAGGAACTGAATAAACCTTATTGTATTGTATATACCTCTTACTAACCGAGTTTGAGGGCCATACTGTGAGTTACAGACTGAGTTGTTCCCCATCAATTTATGGCCTAAGCGCAAAGCACGCTGGTCATAAATTGAAGGGGAAAATGAGGATTTGTAACTGACAGTCCAAACTGAGAAAACGAGGTTAGTAAGATTGATTATATCTCTACTGTGTGTCTGATGGCCTCGGGAACGATTTCTATTCACGCAGAACAGCGTCAAATTTCTGATGCACCTCGAAAGCAAAACAACTCAATTTGAAATCATTGTGAAGTGACTCGTAAGTTTTTCGTAGGTTTTAATACACAATTTCAGAAGTAACAGAAAGTTTTAAACTTTTACCTGCTAAACAAGTTAGAACACTTGGCAATACATCATGAACCATTTTGGCAACAAAAACAGCTTTAAACTTTAGCGGGCCGTACAGTAGGTTAAGGCCAACTGACCAATCACAGTGCGCATACTAACTGAGAGATATAATAATGCAACTTATCCAATTTTCTATGTCATAGGTCACGATTCCAACATTTTTTGTCTCTGCCATTTTTCTTTTTTATTTGTAGCACAGTACTGTTTGCTGATCCAACAGATGAAGAGGAAAACCTATTGACAGGAGTCGTCACAGTGGTTGTAACAGATGATGACAAAATTGCAGCAGTTCACAAGCCAGGTGAAAATTAATGTTAATTGATGTTAGCCCAAAAGTGGGCTAACATCGGTACCATCAGTGAGCAAACCTTCTGGCGGCGCTGGAAGTTCATTGGCCACGTTCTCAGAATGGATCCAAATAAACATACTAAGACAGTATTAACGTGGGCCCCAGAAGGAAGAAGTCGTGGCAGTCCGAAAGAGACTTGGCGGAGAACCGCAGAAAAAGAAAGAACAGCATTGTGTTTTGGCTCATGGAGCAAGGAAACAGTGGCTGCTTGTGACTGTGTGACATGGCGAAGGAGAGTGTCTGGCCCTATACCCACTTAGCGTTATGGTCAAAATCTAATCTAATCTATCCCAAGTGTACCTGCAGTAAGCCCTTTGCAAATGGAAAAGAGCATCTCGAAAATTGCAAATGGCCAATTTTGAGGCTCCTGGCATTAAAGAGTAAGTTTATTTGACAGTTTGAATTTGCGGAAAAATTTAGATTTCTCTGGAGAGCAAGCTCTCCAACAACATTTTTCATACAAATTGTCTTAAATTTGTTAAAATTCAAAGTGTCATAAAATCTCACTCTTAAATGCCAGGGACCTCAAACTTGGCCATTTCAATATTTTCGACATGCTTTTTCCTTTTCTGGCAGTCTGAGAAAAAAGGTCATGTGATGGCCTAGCTGCAAAGGGCCTATTAACTGATGGGCATGCAATACATACAAAGAACTAAGTAGCTATGGCTTTCCAAACATTTCTTGAAATGAAGCTATTAATATCAGTAATGATAGTAGTTTTTCTAAAGATACCCATTTTTCTCTTCAAAGGAGGATCACCTTTACCAGACGACAAGTTACAAGAGTGCTTCAAAAAGGCAGTAAGAAGAGGAAAGGAAGTCAGAGATCTCACACACACAGCTTGTGTTAATATTGATAGATGATTTTACTTTCCATAGCGATTTGTGTAAAGAAAAAAATTAACAATATTATAATAAACCATTTGATTGATCTTCTCAGTGATTGTCATGGTCTTTTGATCAGACACCTTTTTGCTTAGGCTGAACTATGTAGACTGTTCACAGCCCTCTATTTCCTCGTATTTGTATTTGATCATTGAATGTGCAGGTTGAATCATGAGAGAACTGGACACCAGTGCAAAACAGGAGACTTGAAGGGGTAGGGTGTGGGGACTGTTTTTCCATCACGTGTGTTAAAAAATAGAGAGGCTCTGAAGAGTCTACTGTGTCCAATAATTAGTCCTTTAATACATGTGTATGTGCAAATTGGAAATGGAACAGTCTGGCCTAAACATTCTCTGAGTTCACCATTTAGAAGTGGTGGTACCAACCAAGACAACAGCAAAGGATATTTTTTTCCACAAGTGTTGATGTTAAAAACTGGTCTGAATCAGTTACTACTACTAGGCACATTACTACGAGGCACACTTTTATTTCTTTTTATTCTCTTTGAATATTTACATCTCTTATGGACAAGCAAGTAATTCTTGCTGACACATAAATACATTATAATAATTTATAGTATTATATAAATTTTGACGTTTTAGCTACAAAATTACATTGTACATATTTTAGCAACATGTTTTAGCTAGAAAATTACATGTAAGCAGATGACAAAGTTCTACCTTCCAAATGAATGTGATTTTAGTGTCAGTATGTGATAAGACAATCTTATGCATGCACTTAGCTCATCTTTAATTTAACATTATTTATTTGTTTTGGGATCTCCGCCGTTGTGCAGGAGACCTTCCTGGCGCTCTGGCTGTTGTCTGTGCTCCTTGTGTTTGCTGAGTAACTTTGACAGTGGTTACTGGTTTGCCTTGAATCTTTTAGAGGAGAAAAAAAAATTAACTGATTGCTGTATAGTATATCAGTTAGTATTACTAACCACCGACCACCATGACTCCTACTTGCTCCCACTTGCCAAGTCATGCAGGACTAAAATGGGAGCAAGGGGTAGGGGGTGCTGCCATTACAGTGGAACCTCGTTAATCCGGTCATCAACACGCCACAAAAATCTGGTTGTATCAAAAGGGTGGTCATATTAAAGGGGTTCTTTAAATAAGAAAATGACTGCTCTTAATAGCAAGGTGGCCGAACAAACAGGGTGGCCATAAAGCGGGGTTCCACTATACCATAATTGAGAGCTAACCAAAACCAGGCTAACCTGAACATTACGTAGGCGTCACTCACTCCATCACCATAATAACTCTTCAGGATCACGCTCACCTCTGTCTTAGACCTACTCTGCAGGTCACCTTGTTTCTAGTTTCAGTTTCTATAGCTTGACTTATAAACTAATAAAAATAATGTGACCACAGAGTATAAGATGAACAAAATAAGGTTCTGGATTCTACCTGCTGTAATCCTTGTACAACTTGAGCCTGTGTGTGAATCTGAACAGGGGTAGCTCCTCTTGGTGACTGGACGATAGTCGGTTGACATTGTATTTGGGTAGGACCTCCTTGTTGTGGGAACTGCACCATCTGTACCTTGAACTGTGGTTGTTGTAGTTGTGTTCTAATTGGTACTAATGGCTGGAGGTTTGTAGTGGTGCGGTTGACAGTGGATGTTAAAGCAGCTATTGCTGTTGGTGATGTTCCAGCCCCTAATACCAAAAAAATGTAAGTGGCCTTCCTTTGTAACTCACAAGAAAGGAACAATGATAAGGCAACTAAGCTACACAATCTGAATGTATGTTTTGTACTCAACTCCTTTGTAATGGATACCATATTGAAGCCCAACATGAACAATCTGAGTGAGGTTTGGAGATCTCCTCACCACTGTTTGTTGTTGTTATTGTTATTTTTTAATATTACTTATAGTGTGGCAAATACACCCGTAAAAGATGATGATGAATTAATTGTGTCAATTCTGTATTAATTTCGGATATGTTATTTTTGTTTATTCATATTGTCATTTACCTGCATTTATCTTCCTTTGCTGTTGTTGTTGCGGGAGTATAGGCCTTGTATTTAGTGTGACTGTTGTCATCCCTGAGGGAGGGGACAGTGGTGTGTTTGGAAGGATGGGTGTTGGTTGCCCAGCAGGGGTACCCTGTGGAGAGGTTTTTGTTTGGATCTGTGCACTGATGGCTGCCCCAGCTGCCGACTGTATGTGGGTAATTGGTACCAAATTACCTGGAATCTGTTGTGAAAGAGAAATACAAATCTCGTTTTGTGATCATTATTTTGATTGCAGTGTTAAGGAAGTGAGGAGGAGAGCAGCATAACAGTAAAACAAGGAATGGACTTTGAAGGAAAATTGTTCAGCATGGTGTAAGCTACTGCATGCAAAGTACGAAACCTTATGACTTTACAGAGGGCACAATATAGACTTGTTCAATCCCACCAACCCTCCACTATGTAAGCTCAATCTTGCCATATCACCACAATGAGAATGTTTCTCCTGACCCTGCCTGGTTAGAGTTGCAGTTCTCCACACACCATCAATTTTGAAACTATCCCGCATCCTCCCCATCAAAATGAGCAAATCCTGCTCCCGCTAAAGTATTTTTTACCCTGTATCCTGCCATTAAATTTTCTGTCATTCAACATCCCACCTCCAGTTTTACTCTTATCCTGCATCCCACCAGACCTACGTAGGACCCTCTTTGCAGTCACAGCAGATAAAACTGGTACCAGCAGGTGTTTGAGAGTTTTATGGTCTAGTGACAGATGCCCATTGTTAACACACTGTCATATTCAAGCTACTTACAGTGAATGTCGTTGAAGGAGATCTAGTCTGGTGAACTATTTGAGCTTGTTGTGTTTGAATGGCTGTGGTACCCTGTGGGAAACCAAAAACAAAAGTAAGTCATGAAATAAAAGATAATTTTGAGTTTTGATAATTTTGAAAATTACCTTCAGTTGATTGTTTAGATTGGTTTGTTTTTTCAACACTGAACAAGAAATTTCCTATCTCTGTGCGACCATGTAATATTCCCTATGTAAACTGTACCTGTAATAATGTAAGTGGCGTCCCTGGTGCTGGCTGTATAGTTTGATTGGCCGATTTCAAACCAGTTGCAATAAACTGGGTGGGTAATGGCCCTGATGCAATAGCCACACTGTTTGAGACCGGCACAATAGGCGTGGCACCAGCGACAGTGACAGTCGCACCTGCTGGGACGGTGACACTCATTCCTCCTGGACCAACAACTGGCTGTAAAAAGACAAATATAATCACATGTTGTGGGTGCGGCATGAAGGATTGGAAAAACCTGACGGCTTATCGGTGCCAGCACTTAATTCCTGTTTCTACTGTAGGAAGGGTCATGGAGTTTTGCTACGTCAGCCCCCTGGAGGAGATCCTAGTCCTTCACACAGGTTGCCCCTTGGTCAAGCTGCCCCTTGGTCAGGCTACCCCTACAAATCACCAGAACCCATTTACTCACCTGAGTAGAGAAGGGAATTGCAGGGTTTTCATCAAGGGCTGGGAACCAGCCAAGTTGTCTGGTTGTGAAAAATGATTTTGCCCAGACCATCTTGAGGAAATTTCTTCTCATAATGAAATTCATCACTCGAACTCATTCATAATTTATCAAGTTTGAAGTCACCACTGTGACAAAGTTGGGATATCTGATCTTAATTAGCACTGATTTTATTTCTCTGTGTTCTCCTTAGTTTTCACTTCGATTTTAATAAGAAGATATGTCAAACATTAAGACAATGTTCGACCAAATTTCCAAACTCCTTGCAGTTTGTCAAAAATACTTTGCAAAATGCCACTACAAAAATTATTACCTGCATGTAGGCACCTACAACACCTGTGTAGCCTCCACTGGGTGTGGTCGGTGACTGTAACGTGGTTGTAGTGTCCGGATGAGACACTCGCCTTCCTGTCGCTGGCACAGATTTTGTAATGGAGGAAGCAGGAACAGGTTTTACATTCGTGACTTGGAGAGTTGTTCCTGGCTGTGCTGTTGAAATGTACTGCGTCACTGTTCCTAACAAGTTCAAACTGTCATCATTCTTAATAATCACTACTAATAATGGCTGGCAATACAAGGAGCCCCACAATTCAACAACCTAAACATAGGGCAACTTTGTCACCCAAAGAATTTGCTAGGGGTATGACTAGCTACCTACCTGCTGTAGAAATCTTAGTTGTGCCACTCAGAGGTACACCAGTGCCACTTGAAACTGTACCGACCACTGTTCCCCGCTGCTGGAACATGGCCAGCTTCTGTCCGTACGTCCGGACATTTGACAGATTGTGGCTTTGTACCACAGGCACTTGAGACACCGTGCTGTTGCCTGGTAACGTTGTGTGTGATGCCATTGCCAAATTGTTACTTTGAATGACTGTCACTGTGTTTGTTGCTGTCGGCAGAGGTATTGCCACCTTTGCCTGTTTTTGATCTTGCATGTTTGCATTTACAGAAACTGTGGCATTTGATGTCTGTGTGGCGTTATTGGGTGCCTGTGAAGCCTGTTGATTGGCAGCAGCTGCAGCCATTGCTACCTGGTGCTGACCGGGAATATAGGTGCATATCTTAACAGACTTTCGCCCTTCCTCTGTGTACAAGTCTTGGAACTGTTGTAGATACCTATCACAGAAAAATCACCTGTCAGAGTTTAATTCACACTTCAAACACCTTGAAATGAACAAGACTAAAAGTCGACAAGTTGTATGTTACACGATGAGCATTCATGCTAACACCTAAAAAGAACAGTTTTCATTATTCTACTGAAAATTCAATATTTAATCAAAAAATTCCCCCTCCCAGAGAAAGACTTTCCAACAAATATTTCTTCTACTTTACGTTAATGAACAATTCACATCCTATTCAGGTTTTCAGTGTAGTTTTCATTAGATATAAGCATAAAGAAATACAAACAAATACTTTTTGCATTAAGTGCCTGGGAGCTAGGAGGTCTGGGAGGTCAAGAAGGTCTGCAATGAGAGGCAACAAAAATTCTGTAAATGAGCTTTAGCAGTAATACTTTTGTCTGGCACTCACTTTTGAGCTCCAAGTTTACTTCCAAGGAAAAACTGACACGCCTTCCCTGCCTTGCTGGAGTCTGAGGAGTCTGCTGTTGCTGTTGCTGCAGCTCCTTGTGAATTACTGGTGTCCTCTTCAAGGTATAGTTCACCTAAGTACTGCAAGTCTGTTGGACGGCGTCGTATGGTCACACGGCAGAAGTAATTCCTGTTATTGGTCTTTTCTCCTTCCAGTGTAACCTCTTGCACCTTTTCTGGTGTATTGTCAACTGTCATCTTTGGGCGCTCAATCATTTTGGAATACAAGTCCACCTTAAAAAAAATATTCAAATCAGAATTAGCAGTAGTGAATGGTAAATGTGAGACCTTGTAAGAAGGTGAGACTAGCATTTTCCCTTGCAAGCCCAAAACATTTTTATTTCGTCAATTGTGAGACCCACAGTTCAAAGTGTTTTAAATGCAAGCTTGAAACATTCAGGTTCTCGAAGTTCAAATGTCATTTAAGCTAATATAATAAGGCTCACAAATTGGTACTAGGAGACTTTCTTAGCCTTGAAAAAAAATCAAGACTCCAAGATAGCTTTGTGAAAAAATCAGAGTGAGAGACACACATTACCGCTAAAAAAAAAAAACAAGACTGCGAGGCCGGTGAAACTCAACAAAAATTTTGCAAGAATAAATTCACCATTTCTAGTAATAGGAACATTTTCAAAAGCCACATGCAAGATGTATATTTATCACTACTTACATCAACTCTTGAAGGAGAAGAGAGGTGTATAGGCTTTTGCCGCCAGGTGTCTGTTGTCTGCGGTGTCTTTGCGAGACGTAGATTGACAGGTGGTTGTGGTTTCTTGTAATTTGACAGAAAATCAAGAACTTTAAGCTGTGTTGGTGCATTTCCCAATGACATCAGTCCTGTCCTATTACAGAATGCTTGTGAGTGTCGTCTAATGCTCCTGTGACATAAAATAGAACGCATGTCTCTCGCATGGCTCAAATTCATTAATGTTTGACCCCTGCCAGGAATGTCCATCATCTTTTTACGCGAACAACAGCCAAGTGTAGAGGGTCGTACAAGCATATTCTTGTGATACGTGATCAGCTGAATTTATTTTTCGTGAAATGTGAATTTAGGAAATTATTCTTTGTGATCTGTGACCTAAAGGTTTTGTGTGACCCATGAGGAACTTGAATTACTAGCCGATATTCGTGATTCCACCACTCTGTTCGACGTGATTTTGAGATTTGAGACCTCCGAATGGTTAGAGTCATCTATCAAGAGTGACTTTGCAATATTTAGCCTAGACCTAGCCTTTCACAATTTTGCTTTCTTCAAACACTCTTTCTGGTGTAAGAACAAGTTATCTTACTTGATAAGTATCTTACTCTTAAGATACTTATCTTATCTTAAGAGTATCTTACTTGCTTATTTTTGTGATTCGAGAAAACAAAATTTTTATATCTGTGATCCATGATCCTCTCTTTTTTTTTCATTTGAGAACCGTGCCAGAAGCCCCCCTTGGACGACCCTCAAGTGCAGCAGCCGAGTGGTTAGAGCATTAGACTTGAAATCTCTGGAGGTCATGAGTACAAATTCCATCAGGGGGAGTGGTCAAAAGATATTATTTATTATAATTACATATTATGACACAGATATGGGGTAATTCTAATGGTAGTCAATTTAGCAGTAAACACCCTTACATGTATACAACACTAACACACAACTCACAGGTGGAAATCGTTCAAGGGGGAAGGGTGGAAGAGCAATTGGTACACATACCTCCTAATACCAGGGGTGTGAAACTTGTTCTTATTGAATTGCAGCTGATTTGCCACTTGTGCAACCTCTATGGAAGGATCAAGGCACAGTGGACCTTCTGTTGCCAGTAGCAGCTGAGACTCTAGCACTAATTTACTCTCTTCTGTCCAGTCAGGAGACTCCTGCGTCATAGCATTTATGTCACACACAAGGGTCTGACGAAAGAAAGATGGATGTCAGAATCAGTGTTTACGTTAGTATGCCAGCTCCGACAATTCAAGCTGTTTCCCACCTCAGAAGCTTAAGAAAGAGAAGTAAAGATAAAAAAATTACCTAATTTGGCTATCTCTGATACTATACTTTACACCATGCCATAGAAATGAAAGCCCATCAGAAAACAAGAGAGCTTTTGTACACTCAACCTCCCCATCGTGCATTGCAGTGATGGTGTTGGTCACTGTTGTTGCTGTGGCATGGTATAAAATAGTTAAGCAATACTTTCTCATGGTATACTGTGGAATATCCCACTTCTCACTTGTATTTTCTTGGTACACCCACTCACCTTTGGCAAGTATAAGGTATACAGAGAAAATACAAATGAATACTGGGATATTCCATGGTATGTCGCTCGAAAGCATTGTGTAACTAGTATCTATATGGTTGTCCCTCATGAAGAAAAAATTTTTCAGACTTTTCCACAAAGGCTTTTCAGAGACAAAGGAACATCTTTCTTGCTGACTACAATAAGAATGATAATGATAATGATAATGATAATGATAATGACAATGACAATGGCAGTGACAATGATACTGATCATGATAATGATAACGATAAAAGTATCTATATGGCTGTCAATCATGACGAAAAAATTTTTCAGACTTTCCCACAAAGGCTTTTCAGAGACAAAGGAACAAATTCCTTGCTGACTACAATAAGAATGATAATGACGACAATGACAATGACAATGATAATGATAATGATAATGACAATGACAATGATAATGATAATGATAATGATAATGATAATGATAATGATCTAATGAAAAGTATCCAGTTTCTCTGGTTTTTCTCTGACCAAAAAGGAGGTC